TCACTCTATCTAATAATGTTTCGAGAGTCGCATTAGCTATAAGGTCATATAGTGCCCAATAGGTGAAAAAGTTCATCAGGTATGGCTAGGATAACGGACCTTTGCAATATTGTTCTCGCACAACCCACGCGGGACACAACATACAGAGTGTACACAGGTGTGTGAGCATGGCCATTTCAAAAACTCTACTACTCACTATAGCTGTCGTCACTATTCACAAACAAACGAACTGCAGAACTGGCAGTAACAGTCTGCATTCATTATTTCCCGCTAAAAAATTTTAGAGAATGTAGAGGATGAAATGAAGGTTCCACCAAATTTAAATCCATGTTGTTCTAGTATATGTACATAACGGTCGGGGATGATATATTTGCGCCGCAGGGGCTGTTTATTTATGACAAATTTAAACATGGCATGAGATATAGGCGCGCGTCGTAAATTATTCACTATTGGCATATTTTTACATTGCTGGAATTTAAAGCTTCTTTCGCACAGGACACAACTTGCATCACCTGTTCAATCACTCCTCTCTCATGCTCAGGTGCGTCCATCTACTCTATGTAATTTAATGTAATAATGCAACCGCAGCATATTGTGCCCAATAGGTAAAGAGGTTCGTTAGGAACTGCCTTAATAATCGACGTGTACAATATTGATCTTGCACAAACCATGCGGGGACATAACATACAGGCTCGACACGTTATTATCCACACATTATTTCCCGCGTGCGTTATCTTTCGCGATTTTTCAATTAATAATGAATCATTTGGTGCGTGAAGGGCGATTTAAGATTTTATTTTCAAAAATTACATTAAAAGTACCAAAAAGTCAAAGGGTATAAAGACTTTTTTCCTGTCGGAATTTTGGATATAATTTCACCGTGTCGTTGCTTGTGCCACGCCGTCATCCAAAGTATGGTTCCGGAAACCTTGCATCATAGTAAGTAATTGTGCAAAATTGCAGTTCATCCTCTCAAGCTTCTCGAACAATATGAGGCTTTATGTACAAAAAGTATGAGGGTATAATGACTTTCTGCCTATACTGTACTTCTACTCGACAAGTCCAAATATACGTATGAATTTATATAAAGGGTGTTAATAAAGTCCGATCCCATTTTTCCTGTAAAAAAGTGAAGGCTAGTATAAAAAAAAACTACCCGTGATACTTACAAAAAATGTTCGACATATCTACCTTAGTATTTGGTCTTGTTACCATTTACTTTAACCATGCCCTCAACTCTTTGTTTAAGGCTCTGTGCTAATTTTTCCAATGTGTCTGTGGGAATCGAATTCCATACATCTTGAACTTTTTTTACTAGCTCTTCCCTCGTCCGGGGTTGTGGTTCTTTGTATACATTTTCCTTAAGTATGGACCACAGGTTCTCCAGGGGATTCAAATCTGGGCTGTTTCCGGGCCACACCCCCTTGCTCCAGACCGTTGAAACTTGCGTCTTGATGAGACTCAAACTCGCTTTTGCTGTATGGGCTGTAGCACCATCCTGCATGAAAACTATTTTTCTTTCATTCGGAAATATTTCCTTGTTCCCCATGCTATCGAAATAGATAGGTAATATTTTTTCCATATAATACTTTGCATTGACTGTTTGGCCTTTTGGTATGATATGTAGAGGAGTCACGCCACGTGCACAAAATCCACCCGCTACCATAACTTTAAGCCCGAATTTTGGGACTGCTCTTGATGGTACATCCGATTTGTTTTCTGTCCTGTAACGAACATTTTGTTGGTTCAATTTTGGATATAGCTCAATAATAGATTCGTCAGTCCAAAGGATGTGACTGCGCAATTCTTCACCAAGTCTTTTTTCACTCAAATGGCCACTTTTCTGAAGGAGTTCTCCAAATTTCAGACGGTCATCGATATTTTTTTGTGACATGAGAGGTTTTTTGGTTAGTTTGTAAGCTGTGTGACCCCACCTCGTAGATTTCACAAATTTTTGCACGGTCACATAGTTAATTTGCTTCTTCTTCTCTTTATAGCGTTTTGAGTCATTTAACTCCCTTGCACAATTACGTAATGAACTACCGGTTTTCTTGTAAAGTCTGTTTTTAATCATTCTCTTTGTGGTAGGTGACACCTTTCTGGGTCGCCCGGGTCGCTTTTTGTCGTGGACAAAATTTTTGTTCTTCCATTTCCAAACAGTTCTGCGGCTGCAGCCCAATTTTTGCACAATTTCTGTAGGTTTAAGCCCCTGCTGATGCAATGTTTGTATCTCAACTCTAAGATGCTCATGACTTACACGTTTAGTTGTTCCTCCCATGGTAAAAATTTGAAATAAATAACTTCACTGGTTCAAAAGTTCCAGCTGAATTTGTAACAACCGCGCTCCAAAAAATTCATGGGATCGGACTTTATTAACACCCTTTAATTAGATACATATATAAGCATGCGTGACATTCGTTGTAAATAAATATTATATAATGATGGTTATAATCTTAATAGGGTTGCCGTTTTTATCCGAGATTATCCTATCCGATCGGATAGGATCGGATACTGTCGGATAGGATAATGAAAAATACGATTCGGATATCCGTCGGATAGGATAATTTTTTCAAATTATCCGACTCGGATTATCCGATGTTGTCCGACGGATATCGGATGATTTAAAAATGACGAGTTAAGTGTAAATTGGACACTTAACACATTTCATCCATTTAAGTACTTACATAAGTATTTAAGTACTTCCAGGCAAATCATAGTAAAGTTGGTAGATGTAAAATTATTAGAATTTCATTCTCTGAAAGTAAGTCTCTGAAAGTCTAGTAAAATAATGAAAATGAATAAGGTGGAAAATAGAAGGTAATTGATATTGTAGTCGTGGTAGGTGGATAAGTCGTCGTCGGCCTTATTGAAAAATTATGTTTGAATGAAATTTGTGGGTAAACCATAACTAAGGAGAAATTTTGAAGGCATTCGGTAGTGAGTAGATAATGCACACTCGCAAGTGGGTTAACATATTATAACCAAATTATATTTGGCTCTACAACTGTAGTACTGCAACTGTTGTACTGCTTGACTGCAACGATAATAATTGTTTCTAAAATCTGGTAAAAATTCTTTTCCACACTGTACTACAATTGCGAGAAAAATTCCTTGCTATTCGGTTATAAATTATTACCATGCCAGACACAAAACGGTCCCCTTTGTGGTAACATATAAAGTTATTTTCCCATTGCTTAGAGAATCAATCTAATTCTGTGGGTGCTTTAAAGTAATTAGTTTGAATATTGACATTGTGATATATTGAACACATAAATATTCAAACTAATAAGGAAAAGTGGAGACTTACAAAAAGACGTTTGTCAAATACATACATACATATGTATCACTTCTAATTCCTACAATTCCCTTAGTAGTTCAGCCTGTGGTCAGTGTACCATGATTTTAAGAGATCATAGATTGAATACCCGAGAATTGTTGGCACTGTTTAAAATTTGTGTATTTATTTTGCTATTTAATTTGATTAACCTATCCTATCCGTCGGATATCCGACGGATATCGGGTAGGATAATATTTCTGAAGTTATCCGACTCGGATTATCCTAACAGTGGACTTATCCGATCGGATAAAAATTATTTTTATCCTATCCTATCCTATCCGATCGGATGGCAACCCTAAATCTTAAAAGATAATCCCTAGAAAATAATTGCCACCAGAATTCGAACTAATGTTTGACATAATAAAAAATTATTTATTCTCATGTAAAATATGGAACCCTTAATATGTAAGTGAAAAAATTAATTACTTAACTAAAGGCATAAAATTATTTATTACATATTTATTTTACTCATAATGAGTAAGAATGTAAATCTGATGATAATAAAAACACATCTAAATCCATAATTAAATATGTTATTTCATTTATTATTGTACAATTGCTCCCAATTTGCGTTTTGTAGACTACCTAATTAAATTTTTAGTCATGTTTCGAAAACTTTTCTTCCAAAAGTCATCCCCGCGACGAAATTTTCAGAAATTTATATTCGATGAACCGTTGTGAAGAAGATGCTCAGGATTAATTTGTATTTTAAAATGTAACAAATTTATAAGTAGAGTCAGAACTAATGTGAACAAGCTTTAAGAAATTCATAATGCATCAAAAATTCTAACTAATCCTAAGTTTGCACGAATTCTCAACCGCAATACAACTATTTAAGAACTAGTTGAGATAACATATAATCTCGACCGAAATTGGATACATTGGTTAGGGTTAAATACATGAAAAATGTACATGAAATGAAAATTTTGGTAAAGTTACTTGTAATAATTTTTTTAGTGAAAAACGTTGCCAAAGTAAAGAAAACTTACAATGCGATGGTGTGAAGTGTAACCCTCCGATTTTGTTGAAATTTTGGGATTACGTGGTCCAAGTCGATACAACCAACGTTTCTTGGGACAGTTTGTGCGATGGTTGGATTTGACCAAATATTTGAGGTCAAAGTTGAAAAATGGGCGATTTTTACCAGGAGGAGGAAGCAAACCCAACTTCTATTCTCTTCCAGTGCTAAAAATTGCACATTTTTTTAACTTTAACCTCAAATATTTTTCGAAATTCTGACTATTTACATTAAGAAAATCCGAATTATTTTCTGATTGAAATCCGATAAATTTGGCTTTAACAAATTCGAAGTAGGATATCCTATCTGGATTTGGCAGCCCAGAATAAATCTTTCTACAACCAAGGAATTTTTTTGGTAATACTTCGTTTTCCGGATTCAAGGACCTGTTTAAAATTTTTAGAAACCGTGGAAACATTGGTACTTCGCAAGTTGACGTAAAGAGTGTCGCAAAGCTTTCCTAACTTTGATTTTTCCCAATTTTTGATATGTTAAAGATCTTTGGTGGCAAAATAATATATGCATACACTCTAAGAAGACTAAATACTGTCTTGCCGCGGTGGGGAACGAATTCGGCCTCTCAATTGCTACAGTTTATTTGCTTGCCTCGTGTGATCTTTTTGAATGAATTAAAGCACTTCAAACTAATGGAAAGATTTGTTTATTGAAGTAATTTTGCAGTAGCGACCGGTTTCATAATCTTTCATCAGGCTGCATACATACATAGGACTGCCAATGACTTGAGTTGAGCTGAGTTGAGGGTTAACTCAACTCAATAAGAAAAATCACCGACTCAAACTCAACTCAAATTAGTCTCAACTCAAACTCGACTCAACTCAGATGTTGACGACTCAAACTCAACTCATATGAGTTTGAGTCGACTCACCTTTTTTAGAGTAAAATATTTATTTAAATAAGTACGTGCAAAAGGGGTTAAAAATCTCGTTAACCTTCAGATTTTTAAATAAAACTCCCGTTGAGAACGATATTGGTATTCACATTCACCAATTACAATTTTCATGATTTTCTACAGAAGATTAAAAATTTTAATTTAAAATCTAAATACAACTATAAAATTGCTGTTAATTTTGATAAGCTAATCAACAAATCGGTATACTTACGGCCCAAGCTAAGTGTTAGTAGCTAATAACTTTAAAACTACTGGAGATAATGAAAATCTGATAAGTGCGTTGGATTCCTCGTGCGATTTTGCATATATATCATAAATCAGTTTTCAACTGCTTCCAAAGCATATCGGCAGAGAAAATCTAGAAAGGACGCGGGCGACGATAATTTTTCACCAAAAAAATGGGAAGAGAAATGACGTATTTGAAAAATGTGACAGGAATCGAACGTGCACTTTAATTTAGTTCAGCGGGTTATAAAAACGTTCATGAGGACCCCATCGACTAAGAACAGTCGAAGAAAAATTTTTGAAAAACCTCCAAGGACCACACCCATCGTGAAGGCGCTGAAGGATAGAATCCTAAGAAATCCACGAAATTCCTACGGAATATAGCTTCACAGCTGACATTGTTGACGCAGATTATCCAATAAGTGCTCAAACTGAACCTTAGGGTTAAGGCTTTGATATGTGGTACTTGCCACCTCTTGATGATACCCAGAACGAAAGCCCTACTAATTAAATGAGGGGCTTTCCTCAAGCGGTACGCGCCGAAAAAGTGAAAAAGATTCTTTTTACAGATGAGGAGATTTTCACGTCCGAAGAAGTTTTTAGCACATAAAATGCTGTAATCTACGTCAAATCTGTCAAAGATGTATTTAACTTAAAAATTAACTGGCTTTCCATTAAAATTTACTAGAAATTTGTAACACAAAAACTGCTTAAGCTACAGCGTTTCAATCTACTAACACTTTACTTGGGCCACCTAGTATAATTACGACGTATGTGTATGTGTATTTAATAGTGTAATTTTTCATTTATTTTTTCTTACAATTGCAAATTTTTCCATTTTTTTTATTTCACTCAGCCCAGTAAATTTAATCTTGAGATATTTGGAGAGAAAGTGATTCACGAGGATCCGAATGTGAAAAATACATAAATGTGAATAATTTTATCACAAATCGCTATCTAGAGATTTAGCAACTTGCTTTCATCAAGGTGAAAATCTCGAGATGGACAAACTGGCGGTAAAAAATCCTTAATGAGTTGACTCATGAGTCAACTCGAACTCATTTTCCGTAACTCAACTCAAACTCATTATTTTTCGACTCACTCAAAGTGAGTCGAGTTAAACTCTCGACTCAAACTCAACTCAACTCAATGAGTCAAATGAGTTGACTCGAACTCATTGGCAGTCCTATACATACATATGTGAAAAATGGCAAAAAATTGTAATTAAATTATTGTAGACTTATTGTAAAATTATTGTAAAATGTATATATAATGACTTGATACCTTTACAAAGTGGTAAATTTAATAAATGAAGATCTCTACTATATAAAATGGTTCAAATTCATCCCTAAAAATATATGAATTAAATGCAAAAATGTATAATAGTAATAATAATAATACGTCGCTACCAAATACAATAAAATTTACCTGAAACAGGGAGTTTTTCTTAAAAATATTTATAAAAATATATTTAGTAGTATTTATTTAGAATTGGAAAGACTCAAAATCCATGTGATTGTGTCAAAGTAAAAGACGGAGTAGTTTGTTGGGCAGAATTTGGCGTCCTCGGTGATGATATGTACATATACATATTACATACTAAATATTATTACATAGTTGCCTCGTAAGTGAGTATCTTTCTGTAACTTACTTTAACATTGAGCGTATGCAACATGTGTGTATATATATGATCACTTTCTTTCATAATAAACTCAATGGTGAGACTATTTAGAGTTGGTAAAGATTTGTAATATGGCATTACAACATACGATCTATGTAAAATGGAATCATGAGTTTCAGTTTTGACCTTCATATTACAAAGAATTTCTGGGTGGTGTAATTTTAAATTATCTATAATTAAATTTCTACACTTAGTTAATAAATCTAGTCTTGATATTTGAGCTAATCTTTGTCGCGTATTATCTATACAATCATTAGGATAACAACGATTATGAAATGTATTCAGCATGATTTCAATCTCCGTTTCTCTGTCCTCTATTTCGGAACAAATTTTTATAATTCGTAATCCTTGACTATACGGTAATGAATTCAGAAGTTGTTTAGGTAAATTAGAAAAATAGTGAGCATATAATGGGCGTGACATTGGTTTCTTATATAAAGTTGTAGAAAGCTTATTGTTTGATAAACTTACATTAACATCTAAAAAGCAAATATCGGTTGTACTATGTATGTTTTGTATGTTATACAAAATTGGTCAAAACTGGTTATTGTTTCTCTTTCTTCTCCATTCTGTTTAAAATATATATGCCAACTTAATTTCCTTAAAGCCTCATCAAAATGTTCACCAATTAATTTAAAATTAGGTTTTGTTGGATTGGAGAAATTTAATCCGAAAGACAGCACGAATTGAACAAAAGTAGGGAGAATAAATGTAGTAAAATTAAAGAGTGGGGGTTCACTTTCCTTAAATTTCTTAAAAGCTTTATATAATTTATTGTAGTGAGTTCTGCTCAACTTTGCCTAAAATTTTAAAATGGTATGCAAATTATAAAAACACCTTTTCCGTTTCGGTTTATTCTTGTACAAAGTAGCTTCCGTATCTCATGTGAACGCTGTGTAGATTTTTGATGGTGACTTTGTGGTAGTATTATTCAGTGGTGGTTCTAAATTAGCTCGCGAAGTTATAGATGAATGTGACAAATTGCTCCTTTGTTGTGGTGGGTTGTTATTTTTTACAAAATATGAGTTAGAATTGTGTTGTCCATGATTTTTAGCATGAGAACGCTTGTGTTCATCAAAGTGTCGTCGACCTTGATGCTGGACAGAATTATGATTTTGACGATCTTGGTGCAGCCTATTTTGTTGGCCGTGACTCATTGGGAGCTGTGCTGACTTATTTGTATTGTTGGCATAATATCTCGACTTGTTTTGATATCTTTGATTTCTCCAGGGTCTACGTTTTTGATAAGAGTGCAACTCCTCCGGAATATTGGATCTCACTGAGCCTTCAAAATGTATTATTCTGTTTGAGATTGACTCATTTGTGAATTGAAATTCATTGTTTTCGATGCTTCGCATTAGTGAACGAGCGATTCTATTCGTTTTGCTTTAGCGCAAAATTCCTCCTATCTCCCACAATTGAAGGGCTTTTCGGTGCATCCGAATGTGAACCCCAGCCTTGTCCTGCATTTAAATTCCATACCACATAGGGTGCACGCATGTTTGACAGGATTTTGGGCATGTTCGGTTTTTTCCTGTCGAGAAAGATGGCCCTGGATTAGGTTGGTTTTCTCACAATTGGTAAATCTGCATGGGAAACGAGGTCGTTCCCTCGAACCGTGCAGGGCGTCCATGTGCCTCGTTTAACTGGCCGAGTCGAAAAAAATCCCATGACAAAAACCGCAATTGGGACGTTCTCGATGGGTGTGAATTCCCCTCATGTGAGTAGTCAATGAGGTCGGATTTTTGAAAACTTTCCCACAGAGCTAAGCAGTCCATTTTACGGAGAAAACTTAATATCAGCTTAATACATACAATGAGATAACCATAATACAAATATTCATCGGTATTATATGCTTATTATGTAAAAGCTACGCTAGTAAATACATACTACGCAAAACAATAGTTACACCAATAATTTCTTTTCCAGGGTATGAATTCGACCGAAGTGTCGTACTAAATGTTGAAAAAAGACGAATTTCTTCCCACAAAAGTAACATCCATGCTTCTTAGCACCGTGCAATCTTTTGTGCTCGTCTAAATTTCGATTTGAGTTACTCCTGTACTCGCATTTGTCGCAGGAATGGATCTTCTCCTTGTTCGCGGGGTGTACCGCCTCCGCGTGGCGGGTCAAATGATAGGATGTCGAGAATCTTTTGTTACATAAGGAACAAACGTAGTTCCTCTGATTTCCATGAATAACCCGGACATGGTTTTGGACAGCTTTTTCACTTAAGAAAACCCTTTCGCAAAGGCGGCACGTGACACTGTTTCGGCTCGATTTTTCAAGGTGGGTCTCCTGTAAAGAAAACGTTGTTGTTGAATCTCTTCTAGTTGACAGATGCTGCGCAGTCACAAAAAATACCGTACCGGTAAGTAAAATTCTTTTCAACACATTTGAAGACCTCAAATCGGTGACCAACATTTGGAGAAAGTTTAACATTCCCAAATTTGATGACCAATAATATGGGTGGATTAATCAATAATACTATTTTCTAAATGTTGTTCACCGATTTGGGGTCTTCAGACGCGTTCAAAAGTTTTTCTCGCTTGTACGAGTATGTTTTTGACGGCGTACTAAATATCTTTTCACTATTACAAAGGAAACTTCCGATTACCCACCATGCTTTTTAGAATCTACTAGATGAAGGATCCATTCATATTTCCATGTAAAACTCATATTCGGCGCCGTGGCGTCGCGCCAAACTTAAGAATCTTTATTTTCGACCAATTTCATACATCCATAACTTCTGCAGTATGTGTTGCAATTTCACAACTTGTTGTTTAAAGTTATCACAAAGGTCGAAATTTCATGAAAAAAAAATGAATTTGTTAATTTTGAGATATTTTTACGATTTTATCGACATTTGCATACGAAAGTTTACCTTTTTGTTATGATTTTAATATAAAATTATGAAAATTCGTGCATGATTTGATAAGTTATAACGGTTTCCAAATTAAAAACATTAAAATTCGGCGAATGTAACGCGCCGCCACGGCGCCAAATTTCGATTTTACATGGAAATATGAATTTCATCAAGGGTCCTAAACTATAAAGAGAACTAACCACAGTGCTTACATAAATTTGTATTGCTAATTTTCAACTAATTTTTTCCACCAAATTCATAAGTACATATTTATGTACATACATACCTCGTGCTCCTTCATGGCTGCTTTATGCGTGAAACTCTTCCCACACGTGGCACAATTGAACGGCTTTTCGGTCGTGTGGGTTCGAATGTGAGACTCAAGTTGAGTCCTGGATTTAAATTCTTTCTCGCACAGTGTACACGGAAACCGGACCGGATTTTTGGCATGTTCAGTTTTCACATGTCGCGACAGATGGGTCTGGCATACGTAGGTTTTCGCACAGCCGGTAAATTCGCATGGGAAGCGGGGTCGTTCCCTCGTGCTGTGAAGGGTTTTAACGTGACGGCGTAAACTGGCAGGGTCACGGAAGTCCCGGTGGCAAATATCGCACCTGGGTCGGTCGCGCTTGGTGTGTAGGTTTCTCATATGATTAGCCAAGGTGTCGGGGTTTTTCGAAATCTTTCCGCAAATCTGAAATCCAAATACAAATTTTGAAATGTGTCTGGTCGAAGTTGGAAGTTGGTGGTTATCTTAAAAATTTACCTCACATTTCACCTTGGCATTGGGGTCGTGCGTGACTAGGTGGATCTTAATGGCTTGGTTGGTTTGGAACGTTTTGGGGCACTTAGGACATTTCTTTTCTATCGGGACACCCATCTAAATTGGAGTTTTGAGAATTTATCGCTTTTTTAGAACGTTTGTTGGCTCAGTATTCCAGAATTATGAATTAAAATGTTGTGTTATTGCAAAAATATCAAAGTGTACCGAAATGTTAAAAATTTTAAACAACTTTGCTAACTATTTCAAGGTATGTGCTTTGCTTCGTGCTTGGTGTATGGGATAGATTTTATACTGAATATTGTGGTAACTGTAAGCAACTCGAAATGTGAGGGGTGGTGCGATAGAAAAAGGTTACATTTTTAAACCATATTTAGACACGATTCAGGAAAGCCAGATACTAGTTAAATCTATAGTTGAGGGATGTCCATATATTAAGTTAACAAAGAGATACCGCTTTTTTAGACCTTCCTCCTACTTCGTCTATACCCTAAATGCATACGTTGAGCTTAATATGAGTAAGATATGTTACCCAAAACTATCTACCCACCTTTTTGACGACGTAGCATATGAACGGTCCCTATTGTAGAATTTTTGTCTCTTTCCATTGTATTTATGGGCCCGTGCTAAAAATAGTATTAGAAAGTTGGGATGTCTGGCCACCTCGACAATGTGCTTTTATTATCCGTTGGTTTGTAAATGATTGTGTGTAAATTGTCGGACACCTCATAATGACTTACGTAGGTAAAAAGGGAAAATTTACTAAAAATGCACATGCCAGACATATTTCTTTTTGAGACTTTCTTTTAAAAAGTCAAGCAATATAACTATACACAAAGTTTGTGTATAGAAGTGCTCAAGCTCAACTTTAACTTGAGCACTTCTGCAGAATTGAAGGAATGTCGAAGGTTTAACCTTGACAAAATCGCACATATTTCAGATGAGAAACTTTATAGCGTCCACCTCTCTGCGTTCAGCTTTTCCACTGACAGGTCATCAGATTTGATCTTCTATGAAAAACTTTCATACATTATGAATGCAAAAGCTTATTAAATGGATATGGATATCAACTAAGGCTCCACGGACCACTTAAGTATGTATACAGTATTTTATAGCTTTCTGAATGAATAAATTGTAAACTTAATAAATTCAGTACTCGAACAGTTAATGGCATTAAACAATAAATTAACAAATTTTGTATTTCTTGTCCCAAGTATTACACATAATGCGACTCCAGTGACCGAGCAAACCTTTAAAAATACATAAATTTCTTCCCACTTGTATCGCATTTATCATGCATGAGTTTTAACACCATGCCGTATTTTATGCCTGTCTAAATTCCTCTTCGAGTGACTCCTGTACTCGCATTTGTTGCAGGCATGAATCTTCTCCTTGTTCGCTGGGTGTACCGCGTCCACGTGGTTTTTCAAAATGCAGGATCTCGAGAATTTTTTATCACAAAATGTGCATTCATAATTCCTCTCATTTTCATGAACTACTCGGATATTCTTTCGCAACCCGCCACTCTCAAGGAAAGTCATCGTACAGATTTTGCACTTGAAAATTTTTCGTGCAAATTTTGGCAAATGGGTCAACTGGAAAATCAATACACAAATTTTAAAATGAAACGTGTCCGATGCAGGCTATTAATTTACATATGTACCTCGTGTTGCTTGAGTTTCTGGCTTAGTGCGAAATTTTTCGCACACGTGGTATACTTGAAGGGCTTCTCGGTCGTGTGGGTGCGAATGTGAAACTCAAGGTTTGTTCTGCATTTAAATTCTTTTCCGCAAAGGGTACACGGAAACCGGACCGGGTTTTCGGCATGTTCAGTTTTTGCATGTCCCCAAAGGTGGCGCTGATTTAGGTAGGTTTTCGCACACCCCGGGTATTCGCATGGGAAACGGGTTCGTTGTTCGGATCCGTGCATGGCGTCCATGTGTCTCAGTAAATTGCGGGAGTCGCAAAAATTCCGGTGACAAAGGTCGCAACTGCGACGTTCACGGGAAGTGTGAATTCTTCTCACGTGCGCAGCCAAGGTAACCAGGTTTTTCAAAATTTTCCCGCAAATCTAAACAATGCGTTGAAATGGTTGACTTAAGTGTTGCAAATTTTAATTTAAATAAATCTTACTTCGCATTTCTTCTTAGCGTTTGGCTCGTGCGTGACCACGTGTTTGTCAAAGCGTTGCTTGGTTTTGAAGGGTTTTGAGCACATGGGACATTCAAATTTATTTCCGGGATCCATGTGAATTTCGTTCCAGCGAATCTCTTGATTCACAAATTGCACTTAGGTATTAGAAATGTTTTGGATTTATCAGAACCAAAATTCCTGCCTCACCGTCACCTCGTCGACCACCGTCACCTCGTCGTCTTTTCAGGTCTGTTTTACTACTCAATATCTAGAGTTTGAAGAGTGGGCACGTAAATGGTTTGAAAAGGTGGTACTTTTACCTTTGGCTCGATATTTATAGATCAGATGTAAATATGAACATCCAGGGTAAACAGAAATGGTAGGTTGACTTCACCTCTTTTTATAAAAAATAACCAGCCACGTTTTGAACCAGCGCACAGATATGTATGTGTTTTTTACCCTTCCAGAAATGGAAACGACGACTGCATGAAGTGTATCAGATGCCATCCATAATTAGTAAACCACGCAGTGTCTGCATACTCTTTTGGTAGAAATGCATTATTTACATATTGATAAATATGTAAATAATGCATTTCTACATACATATTTGTATAACTTTCCACTTCAAAAATTTCGATTTTTCCGTTACATAATTTTGAATGACCCCTAATAAAATTTGTTGAATACAAATTATTGAGATCACTTTTGGCTATGATTACACTTTATGCTACATTTTGAAGTTAATTTTGAATTTTTGAGTGTCGCAATTTGGGTTTAAATTTAATCGGTCATTTATTAGTTTTAATTTATGCGCATACATATGTATATATTACCATAAAGGCAAATAAAGGAATCTGTGTTTACACTTATCGGCTATGCAACTCGAAACCATGTATTTATTTATTTTACATGTTTCTCATTTAGTTAAGCCTTCCGCAGAAATGTTAAACATATTGAAGATTTCACGATATGAAACAATTAAATGCACACATCTTCACATCTTCTGTGATAATTTATCATCCAACAAATATTAACTTCACTTTCAATAGTAATCATACATTAATGTATCTACATATCTATGTATGTGCATATCGCGTGTCCTAAATACACTTTAGACCGCAATGCATGAACTTAACATGAGTAACAAAGGTTGGACTCATTTTACATGCTTACTCAGATTTTTAAATGCTTAACTAAAATTTAAAAATCTGCTGAACAGTGCACATGCAGCTCAAACCGTGATTTCCATATCTTATCACTAACGGTGCAGAGTTCTCCGTGAGAAAGATTGTACATATGAAACTAGAAACCAGGCAGAAAGATTTTATTGTTAAATATGTATGAGTCAGAATTCATGACTTGATTATCTATGCACATAATCCATTTATGTATGGACAACTGTTTTGACTTATTTATGAAACTGTCTTAAGTTTTGTAAGCCTCATTCGGAGTCAAGTTCTCGATGAGACCATTTCTCAAATCAGGGATTAAAGTTTGACGGAGAAATAAATAAATTACACTTTTCTTTACTCAAGAACTATTTAGTTATATATGTATGTACATACTTTTCGTTACATATATCGAACATATCTAAACATACGCAATATTGAAATTACGTGGCAAAATTCCTGAAAATTTGCAGAAAATTTAAATCTTTAATGAATAAGAATACTATGAAGAAGAATTACATTTCCGGTGTCCTTGTGACCTTGACATTCGCCAATGTTGCTACATCGCCTAGTATTGGTGAGTAAATGTAAATTTACTAAGTTTTTTATGTGTAAATCTCCTTCCCCATTATTTTTAATTGCTTGCATGCCTGATTTGTTATGTACTTATCTTCCTGTAAAATGAGCAGTGAAAAAAACTGGATAAAAAAATCAAAAACTTTTCTTCAAATTTTCCATAAACGCGAGTAAAAATAATGTTACATATGAAAATGTAAATATGCAAATCTCAATTCTAAATTAATTAAATTTTGTTAATCCAGTACAAAGTTGACTTGATCAGATGTAAAGTCTACGCAGGATTTAAGAAATTAGCCCCGTTTATTTAATTTAAGGTTGAGAAGACATTTACTATTCAACAGGATGACATTATTTTTAAGAGTGAACTTCGTTCTATTGCTTGCAACTATTCAATTTTTACTTTATGCAATAAAATCCCTAAGAATTTCCAATCGTAATTCTCTGCACCGATTTTCCTGCATAAAATTGGTTTAATATTCTGCAGAAAGGCTTTATGTAGAGCGAAATCTGAAGAAACCTATGGAGAATGCGGTTCTGCAGAAAAATAGGGACACTCATTTTGTTTAGGATTATGTAAACAAAATTATGCAGAATATGTACGATATGCCTAGAGTTTTTGTCGATTACTGCAAAATTCGACATAGCGATTTCTACTTGGAAACTTTATGTTTTTACGAACTAATTTTTTTCACTCATTGTGATCAGATTTCGACTGGGACGACTACCGAAAAATTACCCCCCGTCCGCCCCTCCTGTGTTACCAATGCTCCTCTGACCCCACCTCCAACCATGTTCCGGTGCTGCCTTATCATGAAAACTGTGCTGGCGGGGAACCAATCCCCTCTCATCTCGCCATCCCTTGCGAACTCGACATCCCACCAGCCAACGTGGTCACCCCCTTCGACACCGTGGAACTGGCCGACCGCGACAATTACATAAAATATCTCCGAAGTGAAAAATATAGCGTAGAATGCGCTAAATTTTACGATTCCCGGAGCAAAACGACGCGAAAGGGGTGTGCCTTGATGCACGAGGTGGACAGCAAGAATTTGAAAGGGAAGGAACCCAGGTTTGTCAAGGGATTCGTTATTATGGGAAATTACTGCTTTGAGAGTCACTGTAATCATGGCAACGAGGTTAAGGTGGCGTCATTACTCGGAATTTTTGGAGTGACTTTTGTTTCGCAAATTTTATGGGTGGTTTTGATGCAAGGTTTTTCTTAAATATTTTACCAATATGGGCTCTTTTTTACAAACAAAATATTTAAAATATTAATCAACATTAATCATATTATTTATAATTATGTAGATTGGAAATTGAGGGTTGACAATTTTGAAGGTGAACACATATTTTGTGCATGAATTCTAACAAACCGTATCTTTAATTGAGCTTAAATACATACATAATAATAAATACGGTAGCTATGTAAACGTCAACAAGCAGAAAAATAATTACATACATATTTATGGACCAATTTATTAAGTTCCTGATAATTATGTAAATAATCATCTACAAATAATTACTTAAATAATGAACTTACTTATAACGTGTGAGTGAATATTTGCCTCGTCATATTTATTTTATTAATAATAAAATGAATCATGCAATAAAAATATTTGAAGACGTATAAGACTTATTTCTCGGTCAACTTGGTAAACTAATATACATATCTATTTACATATAACCTGAGAGGCAAGAAGGGTCAAATGGACAAAATTAAATGAATGGGGATATGTACTTACTTATTACCAAAGCGGTCTCACGTTCCAGTATTATTTAATGCGACTCGTTGTAAACGTGTTAACATGCTGGCGAATTGGTGATTAATTTTTGAACTTTTCTGGAATGAAATTATCAAAATTTTGATTTTCCTCTACTCCCATCTCTACCTATCTTGCAGCCTCAAGATAAAAAGAGGGCGACAAATTGAGCTACCACAATACACTGATATTTTGCAATACCAGTAATATGGACAATGAGACCTATGAAATTAATAAAAAATAGCAATAAAATACAGTATTATTGTACAAGTGAATATATACTATAATTTCTATTGGTGTCATATTTTAACTTAAAGGTTTTAAGTAGACAAATGTTAAGTATGTTTAAAACTCGAAAACAAATAAATAGTTATGTAAGTATGTATTATAAATGTGCTCATGTGATGTGTTCTTCGTGTCAAAGCTATGTACCTTTTCGGGTAACCGAATTTGACTATTTTTAAGTTATAAGGTAATAAATATTTAAAGTTCGAGAAAATCCCTGGATTTCCCAGGATTTTTCAGAGCCAAAATTTGGATTCCCGATTCCCGGGATTTTAAAAATGGTTCGTAAAATTCGTAAAATCGGTATAAAAATAAGGCACCCTTTTCTAAAATAAGTATTTGGAATAAATGTTCAATATTAAAAAATAAAATTTTCCACGTTGTTGTGTTTTAGGGGCGAAAAAGTTATTTAAAAAAATTGTCTTCAACTGGCAGGTGTTTCTCTATCCTTAAGTGATTTTATAAAATACTTTAAATTTGCCATCGATATTTTCGTGCTTCAGCCCCGATAGATCTCCAGCAAAAGTTCTTGAAATTTGGGTCTTTATATGCTAAATTTTATTCAGAATGTTATTCATTTGTTAAGCCTTACCCTCACGCTCGGAGGAGAATTTCGGAGTAGGAATATTCTCTTAAGCTAAGTATCCAAGTGAGCTTTTCACGCGTGAAATCGACATCTGTGAAAATTCCACTGAAATTTCACTCGAACGTATCCAGGTCAGCGATGAAAAAGTGGTGGAATTTTACGCGAGTGAAAATTTCACAGATTTGTGAGTGAAAAAGTAATGAAACGGAGGGGTATTATTCCACAGGAATGAAATTGCAGTGAAAAGTCATGCCGCGAGGTTCAAATTTTTTCCAATTCTCTACTGCTGATTGAGTTTGTTATAAATCAATTTTTATAATAATTATTATAAAGCTCATATTATTAAATTACTATACATATTTTCTGCCAATTAAAGTAGTCGTAATGCCAAGGGGTGGCAAGTCCAATAAGGAGGTAAAACCTCGCAAAAAAAAGGTCGATCTGACAGATGACCAGAAAAAGTGTTTAGCTCGGCAGGTTCAACAATTTCCGGCCCTATGGAACATTACAGACGATGGATACATGAAACGAGATGTAATTTTAACACGGACAATCGTTTCGGAAAAAATGGAATTGCCAGGTATTAGCATTTAGCACAACATTTTTACATGTTATAAATACTGAAAAATGACGTACTTAAGACTCAATCATCTAATTATAACAGTATCTGAGTGCAAGTCTGCCTGGAAGTCGCTCAAAGATGCGATCAACTATCGAAGGAGGCATAAGCCGGGAAAGTCAGGGAAAGGGGGACCTGAAGGAGACGAGGAGGACGATGATCCTGATGCTAATACCCAAATGAGCCTCGAAGCCTGGACTTTTTATGAGTCATTAAAGTTCCTTGTTGATACTAAACCTACTCGCAAGTAATATTTTTACCTTTAAAAAAGTCTTATAGGCAAACTATTTTTGAGTATTAACACTATTCCACAGAACTATATCGAGCATAGTAGTTGACGACGAAGATGACGCTAAGGATCAAGAAAACGTATGTAATAATACGCCAAGTTCAGATGACGTAGAATTTGAAGCTCTCCCGACTACGCCAGCTCTTCCGGAACAAAAGTTCAAACGCCCGGCAAGCAACTACGACTACGTGAGATTAAACTTTACATATTATTCCATTAAAATTAAACAAATCTCAGTTAATATTTATTGTATGTATGTATTATAGATGAGCTGCAAAAGAAATAAAGAAAACACAGATAATACTGACACTAAAGTTATCGCCACTGGTATCGCCGAATTGGTGCAACTTCGAAAGCAGGCCACTGCTTCCACCACGCAAGTCAAGCCTTTGAAGTATGAGTCTATGTATGCAAATTTAGATCGGATGTTGGCAAAATTGCCGTCTAATGTTGTTGAAGATCTGAATATGCAATTTGTTTCTCTGGCATATGGAGAAGTAAAAAAGTACGAACATCACGATATCATTAACACCACTTAAATTTTTTTTAATGCAGAATCAATTAACAAGAAATAAAATTTATGTAGAACGGTAATAAACAATTGACTATTCATTACGAATTAGACCTAGTACACGCATTGTCTGCCATGCTAAAGCACCACGGTCACCATTAACATACTCTTTAACACAATCTCGTATAAGTTTCGCGTTTTCGCTTGTTCTTCCAGCAACATTGGGCGAAAATTGTGAATTTTGGCAAGAATTTGCTGGTAGGTTTACTCTCCAACCTCCTTCAATTATATCACCATTGTCATCTAATTGATCCGCGTATCCGTCCGGACAATAAGTAGATTTGACTTCATTCATCAGAAAGTTGTGCAGTAAACAAGCTGCTACGATTTTCTGTACCCTTTCTGGCTTCATTTGTAGAGATTTTGCAAGCACACGCCAACGGGAGCATAAAATTCCGAAAGCATTTTCAATGCACCGTCGAGCCCGGCTAAGCCTGTTAATTTCAAAATAAACCGTTACAACGCATGTAACCAAGGGGTGAAAGGAGTGTCATACGTCAATGTGAATATCAAATTGTTCGAAAATTTGTTAAGATTGACACTTCTGACGGGTTTTCGACTTTTGTGTCTTATTTGTGTCAAATTTAACAGTTGATAACCCTTATGTGACCTTTATATGACCTCTGAGGTCAAAATGGAGGTCACCATTGAATTCGGGGTTAAATTTCAGTTGAAATTGAAATAGATATGTCCTATGACCTTTACATGACCTCTGAGGTCAAAATGGAGGTCACCATTGAATTTGACATTGAAAAATAGTTAAAAATGACGTGTCACATGTCAAAACTGACACGTGACACTTTTTCGTCACTTTTCGTCACTGTGACGACGTCATCGTCACAGGTGACGATGTCACAGTGTCCATCTTCGAACTCGTCCTGTCCCTTGACGTTAGGAGTTTACGTTCAAAATTTCAAGTCTCTATGTCTTTTCGTTCAAAAGTTATCGGAGCTACGGACAGACAGACGGACAGACGGACATAACGATCTTATAAAGGGCTTTCACCCCTTAATAACAATACAAGTTTCGTTAAATATCAATGTGATGATGCATGCCTTGATTTGTAATTTGTATACCGGTAATTAAATATTCGTTCACTATTTGTTAATTGTGCATTCCTGCTAGGAGAGTATGGCTTAAGTATCCTTCGGTGAAGGGGAAAGGCGTCGTCAGCTACAAAATAGAAAGGAATGGGTTGACCATTAATCTTCGCATCCGGTGGTAGATTTAATTCATCACGAGATAATGATTTTCCAAAATCGCATTTTCTGAAAATATTGCTGTCGCTCTCGCTCCCGTATGCGCCAATGTCAACGTATGTGAATCTGTAGTCAGCGTCACATACACCCATCAAGACAATGCTGAAGAAACCCTTCAAATATAAATGACTTATTTATTGTGATGTCCATTTTTGAATAATTTATTTTTGTTTGTACCTTGTAATTGTAGAAAGAACTTCCACTATTTGGTGGATTTACAATTTGGACATGTTTCCCGTCAATTGCGCCTACGCAATTCGGCAAATTCCAAAGTTCGTGATATCGGTTTGAAATATTTAACCAAATCTGTGGTGTTATTCTGTAAAATTAATTATTAAACATTATACATTTTCTATTTTTGTTAAAATCATGATTTAGTACCACCTTCAAGTATAACGGTTTGAGTGACTTGTACAAAGCTTCACAAGTCCTGTCAATGATTTTGCCAATTGCCTGTTTGCTGACTCGATAAACCGACGCGACGTGGCGTTGATATGATCCTGACGCCAAATATCTGCAATTTCAAACAAGAACAATAATTCTGCGAAATTCTGTTGTAAAGTGACAAATAATTTCGTAACGTCCACTCACTCTAATGGAATGGCCAATTTTTCAGCCGCAGATAGCGAATCCCCACGTGCTCAGGTCTTGGGTTCTAATTGTGGACCAACTAAAGTCAGCAAGTAATCAAAGTTAGATGGGTTGAGGTGAAAGTTCTCCCGAAAGCTGGGTGGGTACTGTCTCAAGACTTGAAACTGGAATTTTAAAATTACTGATTTTAGACGGGAGCGTGAGGAATATTTATTTTTAACAACTTACATCCGATGCGAACCGCCCTTTTATGTTTCGAAGCTGAAGATAAGGATTTATGTGAAATTTAGGTCGCTTCCGCCGTCGTTTCGTTCTCTTGATTAGTACTGATGCAGCTGCCAGTGCAATAATTTCTTCCTCAATTTCAGATTCCATTGCACACGCTTGGTTTAATAGAACTTATAGTAATTACTATTTGATGAAGTTGGTAATTTGAAAAAAGTTATAGGTTTTGAGACAAAACAAAATCAATATTTAAATAATTTTTCTTGTTGATTTTTGGAATAATAAATATAATTTTCGCGGACTGTAAGTCCACTTTGAGACATTTTAATCACATTCTGACTTGGATACGCCGAGGTGAAAATGCAGTGGAATTTTCCCTTTCACCGTCTTTTAACTAGTGTGGAATTTCGCATGAATGAAAAAATTTCACCCGAATTTCACTTCTGTGAAATCTTTCACTTGGATACTAGGCTTTAGTCTCATCCTTCTCTCTCGCTTTGCAGAATACATGGAATCACACATCTCGGAACTTCGCATCGACCCTGTGCGGGGGAGGAGTCGATCTCAGGGAAATGCATCCTCCGGTGTTTAGAATTTGGTTTTCTGCGTCTGATGGTATTTTTTTCAAATTTTTTGGACTGGGGCAAGGTACACACACTTATGCCCCTTACCAGTCTACATAAGGTTACATCACTTGATGGTAAGGGGCATAAGTGTACCTTGCGCCAGTCCAGAAAATTTGAAAAAAATACCATCAGACGCAGAAAACCAAATTCTAAACACCGGAGAATGCATTTCCATGAGGTCGACTCCTCCCCCCACAGGGTCGATGCGAAGTTCCGAGATGTGTGATTCCATGTATTCTGCAAAGCGAGAGAGAAGGATGAGACTAGGAGAATACTCCTGCTCCGAAATTCTCCTCCGAGCGTGAGGGTAAGCCTTAAGGGGTGAAACCCCTTTAAGATTGATATTTCCGTCCGTCCGTCTGTCCGTCCGTGCAATAACTCAAAAACGGTTCAACATATTGACTTTAAATTTTGAACATAATTACTTCTTATTCAAACAAAGGTTAACTTCGAAGATGGACCCTGTAGGTCACACCCTTAAAAGTCAAAAGGTCATGAAATGTCATTAAAGGTCAAATTGCAAACATATATCAATTTGAACTGAAATGTAACACCGAACTCAATGGTGACCTCCGTTTTGACCTCAGAGGTCACAAAAGGTCACTTGAAGGTCACTGAAAGGTCACTAAACATTATATCTGATACATACGTCAATTTTAACTGAATTTTAACGCCGAATTCAATGGTGACATTCATTTTGACCTCAAAGATGTTAAATGACTGTTTGTTAACTGTTAACTGACACCAAAGGTTAAATTTGATACATATGTCACATCACAAATGTTATAAAGTTCTCGGTTTCACCCCTTGGTTACATGCGTTTGTAACGGTTTATTAGCAATATTCACATAATATTAATTTCGTAAGACTATGATTTTTTTCACTCCAAGTGTACTTTAAAGCGCTGCTGATTACTTCAAGGTTTGAAAGACCTCATGAACTTCACAGGTGATTTCGAGTATACAATAATAATTTGGAATCCAAATTATAGTAACCTGTTCCAAATTTTGGAACAAACTATTGAAATAATTATGAAACTGATTTGGAATGATTTTTACAAATATTGAAATTTATTTAGCTACCGTATCGAGCTCACTCACAAATTCATCAATTGATTAACGCGACAATAATATCAAGCAACTTAAGTATAGGGTGTCCAGGCTTAAGTTGGAATGAGAATCATGACCTGTGGAATTCGTCCTGTATAGAAAATTTTGATAAAACCTTTGGTACAGTGTAGGTGGCAATCATACCATTCAGTTTTTGTCGCGGAACATTTGTTACAACACTTTCTTGGCCACTATTCCAACTTTCTGCACCAACCCCCAAATTAGCGATTTTCTACCCGATTGCGAAATGTCTTGGCTGATTTTTTGTCATTAACGGTCGAATCCAATCAAGTTTATCGCCTTGGAGCGAAGGTTAGATTATATTCTTTTGAATAAGGTTCAAATGTTTTCGATTTCTCGCAAATATGGACATTTCGAGGGTTTTCCGTTTTAGGGACACCTTTTCCAATGTTAACCGTGGCTTGAATAACTAATAGTTTTACAGGGAGTTAAGTTTCCATGAATAATTTCCGTTGATAATCTACACTCGCAGGGATGACTGAGTGAAGAAATGTATTTTTCGAAGTCTTGGATGGATCAACTTTGTCGTAGTTCTCGTCACAAATGATGACAATTTCTATTGACATTTATCGACACAGTTTTTTGCAAAATTTTTGGAACTTCATTTTTTGGTCTTTGGTGTACTTTGGGGGACTTTGTTTATTTTTTTCTGTAATCCCCATTTTATGTACTTTAATGTTGCGAAACAAGCTGTTTGAAATTTTCAGTATCCGTGCAGAGCCATGACTTCACTGGGACACGTTTGTGCTAAAGGGATTTTAAATTACTTTCACTTTTGAATGGGTGGGTATGACAAGAATTTCACTTTTGAATGGCTTGGAATTTTTTTGAAATTGCGCTTTTTAGCATCCCTATACTTCGAAATATAAAGGTAGCTTCTTGTTTTGGAACATTCTTCGGTTTTGAAGGGTTGTCACGTTTAGTTCGAGTCACGTCGAGCGACGTTTTTCTGTATTTGAAAAAACTCGATTCGCGAGGTTTGTACTTTTACCCAGATTTCTATTGAATTTCACCATTTTTACAAAACTGCTTTATACCTACTAGTTGCCCTTGAAATTGCGTCTCAAAAAAATAATATAGCTGGACAAAAATTTTCAGGAATTAGGCGGTATTATTTAATGTCGTCTTTTCCAACTT